CAAAATTTCAACATTAACAGGAGTTTGGAAGAAGTTGCCCTTGTGGATGACTTTGAGGGGTTCAAGACTTCAGTAGAGGAAGCAACTGCAAAGGTGGTAGAAATAGCAGGAGAAGTAGAATTAGAAGTGGAGCCTGAAGAGGTGACTGAATCTCATGATAAAACTTGAATGTATTAGGATTTGCTTCTTATGGATGGGTAAAGAAATGGTTTCTTGAAATGGATTTCCTGGTGAAGATTCTCTGAACTTTGTTGAAATAACAACAAGGTAGTTACAGTAGTACATAAACTTAGTTGATGAAGCAGTGACAGGGTTTGAAAGGATTAACTTCAATTTTGAAAAAGGTTCTATTGTGGGTAAAATGCTATCAAACAGTATCGCATGCTACAGAAAAATCTTGCATGAAAGGAAGAGTCAGTTGATGTAGCAAACTTCATTGTTTTATTTTAAGAAATTGCCACAACCACCCCAACTCTCAGCAACCACCACCCTGATCAGTCAGCAGCCATCAACATTGACGTAAAACCCTCCATCGGCAAAAAAGATTATGATTCCCTGAAAGTTCCAATGATCATTAGCAGTTTTTAGCAATAATGTATTTTTAAATTGTGTACATTTTTAAAGACATAATGCTATTGCACACTTAATAGACTACAGTATAGTATAAATATAACTTTTATATGTACTGAGAAACCAAAAAATTTGTGTGACTTGCTTTATTGTGATATTCACTTTATTGCAGTGATCTGGAACTGAAAGCACAGTATCTGCAAGATATATCTGTACTTTTTTTCTGGTATCAGTTTTCTCTGTCTTACACATCGTTAAGATTTTCTTTCAAATTCAGCTCAAGGTCTTGCAGTATACTTTCTGGCAGAGCAAAGTTATTACTGGGTAAGTAACTTATTTTAGGACCTTACAGTTAACCAACTTGGATTGGTGCTTAGTATTTCTGAGATACTATAGGTAATAGTTACAAGTAACATAAACCACTTTGGATATTTAGAAAAGGCAGGCAGAGGAGGAATGATCCAGTTCTCTTTGGACTGATGCTGCTGCTATTTTTCAGCCATGGGCTCTTTCTTTGGTTTCTGCTTGTTCCCTACGGTTTATTGCTTAGAGTTAGAAACAGCCTAATAGTTGCAAAATGGTTATAAAAACTCACCTTAATTTTTTTCTTCTATCTCCTGAGCAGGCCCTATCAGTGACATGTAATGTACCCTGTGGAATGACACTGATTTCCTCTTCTAACAGCTTCCAGAGTGGTGCTTAGATCACTGGCATCCTTCTGAGAAAGCAATGTATCCTGACTACTTTGCCAAGAGAGAGCAGTGGAAGAAACTGCGGAGGGAAAGCTGGGCACGAGAGGTGCGTCTTACTTGCCCTTGACCATACAGCTTGGCCATGTGGACAGTCGGGTTTTACTCCCCACATGCAGAAGTCTGGATTCTAGCCATGACAGTTACTCTGGCCCCTTGCTTCTTAAATATATTTTAATTTCTGAGTGTGCTCAATTTAACATTTACAACCATCTTATAAATAGGTTAAAATGCATTCCCTGTTCTTTTTGGCTTTTCTCTGATTTTGCTTCTCTCCTTTGCCCGACCTTCTTGCTATACCCTACTACCCCTTAACCTTCCTCTCCACTAGAGCCTTACACATTTTTTAGTTGAGTTATGATGGCCAGAGTTAACATTTTTAAAAGCTCAGTCTTGCTATAGTGTGAAGAATATATTGGAAAGGGCAACAGGAGAAATAGATAGACCAATTTGACATTGCAGTTTAGTCAAAAAAGGTTTATAATGACCAGCACTACAGTGGACACAGTAGATACGTAAGGAGTTAGATTTGGGATGTCTTTGGGAGGGATATAAAAGATCGATTGCATGTGAGGGACAGGTGAGGGGCAGGGAGGAATCCAGAATGGTTTCTAGGTGTTAAGCTTTCACATCTGGATCTTGGTGGTGGTAGTTATTGACATAGGGAGACTGGGGACACAGAGCGTGTGATAGGTATCAGGGACACTCAGGCATTGTTTGTGAAGTTTGAGACTCCTGTAAGACATCAAAGGCAGGTGTCAGTAGGCAGCTTTGGAACTCCAAGGGGAAATTTTGCCTAGAAACAGAAACTTCTGCATTTCAGTTGTTTAAAAAGCCATGGTGAGATATGTGGAATCCTTGGAAGAGTGTAGAGAAGAAAGAAAAGGAGAAAGATCTTTCTCCACTATAATTGGAAGATATATATAAATGCATTAGGGTTAGAAGTTTTAAAGATGACAGACTTCTACGTGATAGCTTCTAATCTTTTATTGAAATAAGTGGAAAAGCTAAAAAGAAGTGGGTGTAGTGTTTGGTAATGTGGGAGAAGTGTGATAGTAGGATGGCCAGGTGGTGGTGAAGGCCCATTTGGAGTTGAGAACAATGAATGTATTGTGACACCAGTTTGTTCCAGTATATTTTTTTTCTCTCTTTAGCAATATTAAGTAGTACAGGTGCAGGCTTGAAGGTAGATGGTTCGGTTTATCCATTGCCCAGAGAAAGTGACAACTTGAGGTCATTGAAAAGGGAGCAATTGTCATGATGAATCTAAGCTGGATAAAAAAAGGAAGTAAAAACAGAGGAGGCTGATACAGAAGGGGGAGGTCAGGTTGGGTGGGCAGATCTATGACTTGTTTCATGTCTGTGAATTTCAGGGGGTTATTTAAGCAAATGAGCTGGAAGTGTGGGAGGGGGTGGTTGGAGAGCAGGATATTTGAATTCATGATTTTGGAAGTGATGAGGTCCAGGATGGTGACCTTTGGAAGTCTTTGGCCAAGTAGAGTGGAAGGAAGGTCATTGTGACCAAAGTAGACAGTATTTTGTAAGAAATGTCTCAGCATTTAGAAGCTTGAAGTATATTTATTCACGGGTAACAGCAGGTTCATTCTGCAGTGGATTGCCATGATTATTCTGCTCAGGTGCATTCCTCCTTTACTTATTCCATTGTTTTACCATTATTAAACAGCACATGTGTTTGGAGACCCACAGCAACCACAATCCAGAATGGATTATTCTGGAGGGAGCTTCAGCTCTTAGGTCTCTTCCCCTGCTAGGACATTTATTTTAGAGATCACTAGAAGTGGGGGTAGCTGGGTAGAACTAAGCACATTTTTACATGTGATTTCATATTATTTCTTGTCCTGGTTGCTATGTAGGGGGGCTTTCCAATTATAATCTCCAGTATATAATGAACTGAAGTTTCTTAATGGTGCTTTTGGAGAACACTTTGCTAAGACACAAAAACAAATGTTTCTGGGGGAGAGGTGGAGAGCAATGACAAGGGGAATTGAAATGGTAATTGTATTTTGCTTAAAGAAAATAATAAGAGGTGTGGAGGGGGGGTTAGCTTTGCTGTTTTAAAAAATGGGAAAACCCTTAAAGGAGAAAACCTTTTCTGTTTGAGTAAAGTCCAGTTATATAAAAAACACTTTCCAATATTGAGACTAGGTAGTGTGTGACACGCCATAGCAATAAAGTTGACACTTTGCTGTAGCAGACAGATTGACAGGTAGTCAATGAGACTCCTCTGGTAATTGTTCCTTCCTTGCCTCCTTCTAGGTGAAGCAGCTTCAGGAGGAAACCCCACCTGGTGGTCCTCTGACTGAAGCTTTGCCCCCTGCCAGAAAGGAAGGTGATTTGCCCCCACTGTGGTGGCATATTGTGACCAGACCCAGGGATCGGCCTGTGTAGAGAGAGAGAGAGAGAGAGAAAGACAAAGACCTAACTATTCATGATTGCAAGTGAAATAAGTTACAGAACAGACACACACTTGCCCTAATAAAAATAACTGAAATGGTCTGGTCTGACTGATGTGTTCTTCTAAAGATTACCATGATGCCAAGTGACATGCAACTGTCATTGTTTTCTTATCACTTATGCATGTAAAGAAAATGATGTGAAATGTAGTCAGTCAATTGTGTTCTCTTCCTTAAGAAATTGGCCTGGCGAGGTGGCTCAGGCCTGTAATCCTAGCACTCTGGAAGGCCTAGGCGGGAGGATTGCTCGAGGTCAGGAGTTTGTAACCAGCCTGAGTGAGAGACCCCGTCTCTACTAAAAATAGAAATAAATTAATTGACCAACTAAAAATATATATACAAAAATTTAGCCGAGCATGGTGACGCAAGCCTATAGCCTGTAGTCCCAGCTACTCAGGAGGCTGAGGCAGTAGGATCGCTTGAGCCCAGGAGTTTGAGGTTGCGTGAGCTAGGCTGATGCCACGGCACTCACTCTAGCCTGGGCAACAAAGTGAGATTCTGTCTCAAAAAATAATAATAATAATAATAATAAGAGCACATTATCAGTAAGGGAAAACTTTGGAGCAGAACCAGTTACAAGATTTACTCTGAAGACTGAGATGAATAAACCTTCAAGTTGAAGGCTTAATTACCTATAGTGACTGGAAGGAACATGCAAAGCTGGAGAGAGAAATACTGAGGTCTTAGAATACCCTAAAGATTCCAGCGATGGGGGATTTTAGTTTTTATTAAAAGGACAATTCTCCTTAAGAAGCACATAGCAACAAGTAAGCATGGATTTTATGGAGTTCCCTCAGATGGGTGGGGTTCAAGTGTCTAATCCAGGATAAAACTTTTTGTGACACTTATTTGAGAGCCAGTTTTCTAGCTTTGCTTCCTCTACCATAGTTTAGATTGCCTGCAGACTCAAAGGTAAGGGTGTAGCAGAACTCTTTTAAATGTTTCAAGAAGTTTTTGTTTTTAAGGTAAAGCAGTTTTTAAAACTGCCAACCCCAAATGGATGCTTTTAGTTCTCAGTAACTCATTGGAACTGTTGTCAAACAATAGTTCAGGCAACTAGTGTTCTTATGGCTCAACCATCACAAAAATAGTATTTTGTCAGTTTTACAAGTAAGCTCAATTTGAGTCTCAGTCCATCTTCTAACATTTGACTAAGACCTCAAACTGAATTTTAACAAGACTTGAAATACAGAACTTTTTTTTTCTATAGTGGTTCTTTATTTATAACGTGGGCTGAAGCAATTGTTACAATGTAGAAGGGAGACACATTACACAATTGTTATTTATACAAGTTTAGAACAAAAAACTGCACAGGGAGAGGTCAACTCTCAGTACAAACTAGCAACTAAACCACAATAATTTACCTTTAGAAAGGATTTCTTTATTTTTAGCTGTGACACTGCTTTTACAATATGCAAAAACACAAACAGAACTACCCAAGGTGTCTTGTCACATTCTTTCTACATTGAATTTGGCAACATTTTATATTTATTCCGATTATACTAACGTTTAAAAACTAAACAAGTGAAAAGCTGTACCAAGGTACAGTTACATCCATTTATTTCAAAAGGTTTAAAATACCACTTTTATCTATTGTGATTACCTTGCAGCGATTTCTGCTTTTGCAAAAACCATCTCAAGCATCATATGCACAATGCATCAGCTACTTTTAGTCATCAAGATTGGTGGGCTAAACCACAGGCACTACTGTTGCTTATATTCTGTAAAAGGAGCTTGTTTTTCAAAGAAAAAAGCTTAAATAGTTTCTAATAATCATGCCTTTGCTTTAAAGCCATAACATAAAATGTCCTTGAGCAATCACAGCAGTGTTAAATGTTAATATATAGAACAGTGACTATACAGGTACGTTACTCTCACATCCAATGCGGTTATGTATTAAAGCATAAGATTATGTCATTGAGGATCAGAGCCAACAGAAATCTGCAGGGTTGTGGGACCCACCAAACTCATCGTCCTCGAGAAGTATGGTCACCAATGGGTGACACAACTGCTAAGAGGGCTTGCTTTCTTTTTTTAAACACTGTTGCCTTCTCCAAAGGTGATCCCTTTAAATCTACAAATCTCTGTTGGCTTTAAGGGATGGGTATTATAACAAATTTAACTTCCACTTAAAAAAGAAAAGACAAATCCATTCCAAAAAACATTACCTAGAATACAAAAAAAAGGACAGTATAGTGGTCAAGATTCCCAGTGACAAACAAATCCCCCTCTCTTCAGTGTTTAATATGAAGCCAATTATAACTGCTATTGATTTAAAAGAAGGTAAGAAAAACAAGCCCCTAAATTGGTAAACACATTGGCAAGTTGCTGGACTCTAAGCTGGTTACCCTTGTTAAATCCACTCGAGTTTTTTCAAAATATTTGGGCTTTTCAACGCACCCAGCCTGCTGGGCACAGTTAAGTAAAAGGCATTTGCTATATCTTAAGAATTCCCTGCTATCATTTTAAAATGTTTTCACATTTTTTAAACTGCCTTACCCTTTTGGATGTATTTGGATTCAATGAAAGTGAGTACGATCAACGAGAAACTGAGGTGGGGCATTCTACGTCTACCCAGTGGCAGCAGCATGCACGGGATTGGAGGTGGGTGCTGTGTGCAGTCAAGAGGAATCGTGGGAGAAAGGAAGTCCTTAAACACCCTACAGAAACAAACACTGCAATCCAGTATGGCTTATTCAGATGCATTTACCATGAAGCTACTAGAAATTCAACCTACGAGGCTACTCTTAAATGTGACAGGATCGGCTATGTTGACAGTGTGCCCCTCCCATGGCCCTCCCCCCAATCCCAACACAGTCTACCATTTCCAGATTTACTTCACTCTGAATATTGCTCATCAACTGTTACTCCTGCTTTTCCCCTCAGAACATAGTATATTGACTGAGGGTTTTACCTCTTACCCATTTTGTTTGTACATTAAAATAACTTGAATTTGCTTCTAAGCTAGACTACTACAATGCATCTACAAAAGCTTGCGGAAAAAAAAGAGAGTGAAGTATAGTAAATTCTTTTCTGAAATTAACTACTTCATGGTTCCCCTACCCCAACCCCCCTCCCTTATGCATTTAAAATTTTACAAAGACTTGTAAAAAAGTTAAATGGAATTTGGCACCTTCAGAAAAATCAAAAGGGAAACTAAGATTAAAATGTGCAGAAAGAAAACTGTCAATATTTACAAATTAAAAGATCAAGATTATGTCAGTTACATATGTTGCTTTTAATTCTTATCTAAAGGTGTTGAGTACTTTCAAAAGAGCTGTATTCTGAGTTGCCTACAAAATCTTTTGTTTGATTATAGATTGGAATGGATCAAGACAAATTAGGTTTTATTAATTAAACAGTTCATTCCCCACTGGCAGCGTTTCTTGTGAGACTAAGAGAGCCTAAGAGAAGCGAGGGGCCGAGCGATCATTTGTCGTGGTCTTCTTCAGTTTCACGCCCCTTCGGATGGCGTTCAGCATGTCTTCTCCTTGTGGAGTATCTCTCGGGCTCAGGTCTGCAGGGTCACTCTCTGGAATCTGGCCTGGGGAGACAGTGGCACTTGGGGGATCCCTTTCCTGGTCTTCAGCCTCGCTTTCTGGAATCGTCTGCCTGTGCTCCTCGGGGATACTGGGCTTCGGGCCTGGAAGTGGAGGGTTGACGGAAGCTTGGCCACTCCACATTGAGGAGGGCATGCTGGTGACACCTTGGGGGCCCTCACCCACAGATGGCGACTCGGGGCTATGCTCACCCCGCTCCTCTGGCCCATCTGGAGGGGCTGGCAACACCCCAGGGAGGTCTGGGACGGTCGGGGTCTTGACAGGGATCACAGGTGTCTTGATGGGGATGGGGCCAGCTCCGATAGTCCCCCGGCGGACAGAAGGCTTGGTGGAAGGGGTCCGGCGGATGGTTGCAACCCCTGGGGTGACCATAGCAGGTCCGAGGGTGGTGGGGAGGCCAGCGGTCGAGGCTGGGCGCTTGGCTTGGAACATCCGTCGGTAGGACTGGCTGATGTCACTGTTTCTCGGAATGGTGGAGGATTTGTCGAACTCCTGCTGATCTGCCTCCTGGTCACCACTCACGGAGAAATAATCATAATCTGAAACTGATGATAGGGTTTGATTAGACACATCTAAGACAGCAGCTTTGCTTTTTGATTCTTCTGTGCTGGGAGGACAAAAAACACACGGAGCAGGATACACACACTGTCTCATCCGAAGCTTCTCCTGGCTTTCTGTCCTATCCTTAGCAAGCCTCAGCAACTGAGAACCCCCAGCAGGGATCTTCACTTTGTTCGTTGATGTGTCCTACGCACCTGAACAGTGCTTGACATGGAAGGCACTCAAATATCATCACGTGGGGGAGAAGGGAAAACTGCCAGGTTGCAGCAAAGCTACCTCCAGGCATCTCAGGAAGGAGTAAGGGGATGAAGGAGATCATTCTCCTATCTGGAACTCAACATGAGAAACAAACCTCAAACACACTAGCACAGGCCTTTCCATCTCCTGGTTAATTAACTGGTCAGGTGGGGGCTAGAAAAAGAATGGAGCTACTGGCAAGGAGACCCTGACACCAAGGAACAGCAACAGGTTCCATCAGTGCCACGTGCTCACTTCCTCTCAAGAAAAGGCACAATGCCAGTCTCAGGGTGACGGGGAGAGGAAGCTTAAAGACTAACCATCTCACAGCAGTGGTTCCAAACAGCAGTACCACTGACGACTTGGGCCACGTGAGGCACTGTTGCGGAGGGGATGGGGGTGTGCTGTGTATTATAGGATGTTCAGTAGCATCCCTGGCCTCTGCCCACTAGATGCCAGTGGCATCCTTCCGGTTGTGGCAACCAAAAATGTCTCCAGACATTTTTAAATGTCTTGGGGAACAAAAATCACCATCCACAGAGACTCAGTGTCTCAGAGAGGCGTTGACTGATGGATGGCAAAAATAGCTTGTGGTCCATTGTCACAGATGTTCCGGCTACAGATATCTGCATCCTGCCTGCACTGTGTGTGTGTGCTGGGGGTGGGGTGAGGCAGGCAGGTCCGAGGGAGTTTGGCTGGAATGAGTTAAGAGCTTGGGTGTGAGACTCTAACATGCCTTAGGTTCAAACTCCGGCTCTGCTACTTATTAGTTGTGTGAACATGAGCAAGTTACTGAGCCTCAGTTTCCACATCTGTAAAATGGGGATAAAAAACTTATCCCACAAGAGACTGTAGAGATTAAATGGGAAAATAAATACAAAGTACTTAGCACAAAGTGCTAAAACAAAAATGAAGCTATTACTAACAGCACGTGTCCCTATTCAGACTCACCCTCATGGTGAAAAATGAAAAAAGCTGTGAAAAGTCCAGATCACTTCTTCACCCAGCAGCTACCTGACAACTGCAGATCAACTCTCCACCGCACACCCACATGATGAAACCAATTCTGACACCCATCTGCTAGCCAGGGGGTAACAGGCGATTAAAATGAACTACTAGATTTCCTCTCCTCCCCCATGCTGCTCAGAAAGTCCAACCGCGACTCCAGGCTGCCCCGTACCTTGGGAGGGGATGGTGTCCTCAGAGCAGCACGGGGTGGTCGTCTGGGTGCTGTAGCCACTGGAGCACTGAAGCGAGTCCCGGCTGCTCCTCTGGGTGTCCAGCTGGAGGCCCCGCGACAGGGCCAGGGCCAGCTCCTCACAAGCCTCCATCTCCTCACCAGGCTGCAGGATGGAGGAGAGAGAGACGGTGTCCCTACAGACAAGCCACGAAGGCCATGAACCCCCACCTGGCGTCCCCAGAGCCTGTCCACACATTGCCTTTAGGAGGACTCAATGCCACTCCTATTCTGTCCTGTGAGCAGCACATTTCTGTGGTCCCAGGGCGCTACTGACTTGCTTGGGTCCCACCCAGGTTCTAGAAAGTTCTAGGTGTCTTGTTTCCACAAAAGGCTTTTTCCCAGGGGACTTCTACATGCCGCAGGACAGGAAGTGAGGGAATGGAGCCCAGGTCCCTCTAGCTGCAAGGCTGCCTCAGCACCCAGTTGGGCCTAAGTGGACCCAACAAACTATAGAGAACAAGAGCGTCACCCTGGTGGCAGCAGACACAGTCATGCTCCGCGGTCTCTGAGCCTCCTCAGCAGTGGCAGGCGGGCCGCCCGCGGCAGGGGGTCCTCCCCCGTTGGGGTCCGGCTCACGCTTCTCTTTGCGGCGCTGCAGAGTGTTCACCAGAGGCTGGTCGTAGGGGCCCGGCTTAGCCCAGTCCTAAGCAGAACAAGTGCGGTCAGGGGCCACGCCTCTGCCTCCAGTTGGAGGGCTGCAGTGACCCTTGCTTGGGGTAAGCTCAGGCTGGGACAAGCCAGCAGGCCTCTGCAGGGCAGGGCAGGGCGGGGGGTGGAAAACCCTTCGGGGGCCTCCTGGGTACTTCCCTTTTTCCTCATTACTGCCCAGAGATGAAAACCCTTCACCCACCAGGCAGGCAGCAGGAGACTCTTAGTTAACAGCCACCTAACAGGTGGCCAACATATGCTAAGGGCACCAGCCAGGGGAGCACGCCCAGCCCTTCTGTCTCCTTTAGCAACCGAGATGACGGCCTGTTCATGGAGTGGCCACCAGGGGGCACTAGGGCGACGCCAGCCGCTCTCCCTGCAGCTGGGCCTCTGATGCCCGGGAAGCTGGCCTCAAAGGGCACAGTGGGACCTTGTCCTCTCACGTCCCCAGCTAGGAAGGGAAGGTTCCCAGGGTCAGCAGAAAGACTTTGAGGAGTTTTGAGAAGTCCATGCAACCTGTGAGGGCTGAAGTCAAAATCTGCCCAAAAAGCTGGCAGCCGGGGGACCTACTTTTCACATCTGGGTCCTCCTCTCAAAACATAGTATAGTATCAAAACAAAGCATAGTATCTCCCTGGAGCACTCACTGAACTTGCCAGGAGATAATTGTAAAACTTCGTTTTTATATATTAAAGTAACTATGCTTTAACATAAAACAATCAAGACTGAAAACTAAGTCTGCGTGCACTTGTAAGTTAAACGCAATGACCCAAAACATACTTTGGGTCACGGCTCTGTTCCCATAGCCCAGCAGAGGACTCGCTAGGGGAAACGTCTGGGGAGCACGGCTGAGGAGGACAGACCCTCCCAGCCACCTAGAGCGGCCTCTGATAATGCCGAGCCCTCGGGCGGGCCCCAGGAGGGGATAAACCCAGCAGATGGCAGCTAGACGTGGAACTGGGCCTTTTAACCGGGAACTGACCAGCGCCACGTGGAAATCGCTGTCTTGGAGCTGCCCGCTGCTCTCCGGTTCTCCCCCAGTGGGAACTGACTGAGGGAGAGGCGTTATGGGGAAGAAGGCAGAGTGTGAGAGGAAGGGCGAGGGGAGAACCAGGGTGAGGATGGTGGAACAGAAGAGGGGTGAGCACAGAGGCAATGACAGGAGGAGAGGACAGGAGCGGGGAGGAGAGACACAAACCTTCCAGCTAGGGATCTGAGATGACGGGAACATGCCGGGCCCAATGGTGTAATAATGAGCGTAGTCTGGAAGGTGGACAGAGGTGACCCGAGGGAGCAGGCGGGAGGCAGGCAGGCAGTGGGGGAAAAGGCCTGCACCCACGGGCCCCACGTGGGAATCACTTGATAAACTACAGTGAGAAAACCCGTTAGACAACTGGAAACAAAACAAACAAGGGGGGGAAAAAAGGAAAAAAAAATTAATATAACAGGATGAGTGTGGAGGTACAAGATGGCATTGACATTCAAGGGAGGGGGAAACCTCAATATGTATAAATAAAACAAAGGGGGCTCTGCTGCTCACAGATGACCCATGATGCAAGAGAAACGAGCCAGGGTGCAAAGAATGCACATGCATTTGACACCAAGTAAGTATTTAGTCAAGGAAATATTTGACCTACATGGAGAATAGTTTGGAAACTGATCAGTGTCCTTAATTGGTGGCGTTCTCAATGGTTTTTGATTACATAACTAACAAAGCCTAATTTCACGGTGAGAGTGATTTCTTGCTCATCTCATTATGCAAATTAAAAAATGCTACAGCGGCTTCAGATGAATCAGTTCATTCTAGGTTTCCAAAATCATTACATGGATCAGGAGCAGACTCTGAATCAAGGGAAGGGGGCAGGGGTTTGCAAACTAAAAGGCAAAGAAAAGCACACAGCTTCTGACACAGTGACATGTCCCGTCCAGTGGTCCGGTGGGGGCCAGGGAACGGCAGGAGAGATGAATGTGCACACAACACCTGATCTGGGAAGATGCCTTCACACCTCCGAATTCCCCATACCCCTTCCTCTCCCTCGGGACGACCACACGGTCACTGTTCCACAGCCAGGCGCTCATTCTAGAAAAAACCCTCAGCCTCGTCCCACCCTCTGTCCCCAAGAGGAGCCCACGCTTGGTGTCGATTCTGAGTTTGCAGGTTCCTGTGTCTGTGATGCCTGTGTACACGGCAGGCAGGGGTCGGGGGGTGGGTGGGGGAGGGAGACCAGGGCCGCCGTGGCTGCCACCTGGGCGGTCACCTTCTCTGTGGACACCCAGGCGCCCATGGTGGAGCCCGAGCTGACTGAGGTGGGAGAGCTGCACTCGCTCACTGACTGGCAGGTTTCGGAGGCTTCGGAGGAGGCCGAGCTGGACGAGTTCTGCAGCGGGGGAGGGACCACACGAGGGGACCGGACAGAAACCAAACCACACGCCACCAAATTATAATAATAAAAAAGAAAGAAGTGGGGGTGGGGAGGGCACGCACAGAGAGAGGGAGAGACAGACATATACACAGAAGAGGGAAGAATGAGAGAAGCAGAGGGTTAGGGTTACTTTCTCCCCAAAGTTGCACCCGCACAGAGGTTTGCAAGCCCTTGAAAGGAAGCACAACACCCAGCCAGCCCCAGATGCGCTGGGCTGTAGGGCTGCAGAGGACACGGATCGTGTCCTTTGCTGGCACCCAGAAGTGCGCCTGGCACTGGGGCATCCGGTCATGGCACTGGAAGTCCCAGCAATGCTGTGTTCTCCTGGGCTTTTCTTCACATGCCACAGGCCCAGGTCCCCAGGGAGGCCCTGCCTGTCACGTTTCTCATGTGCACAGGCATTATTTATCGCATGAGGGCTGACCCCTGGCTTGGGCTTTTGCTACAGGTCTGCCTACAATGGCTCTACTTCCTGGATGCCCCCTTCATCAAATGCAGCCTCTGGGTCCAGAAGGGAGGGTTTGGAGCAGGGAAGGCCTGTGGTCAGTGCAATGTTTCTAGTGGCCACTGTGGGGAGGGAGGAAGCATCGAGAGGGGCCTCATTTGGGAAAACACCTTCATGCTCATCTACATAAACCTGAGTCCCCGCCAGGCTCCTAATGTCAGCCAGGACACGGGCTCCCAGCTTGGCTTTCTGCCCCTCGGCTGAGGCAGAGGGACGGCTCCTGTGAGCTCACCGTTACACTGAGTTTCCAGTCTCGGACCTGGCACAAGGCAAGTGCTTAAGAAATACTAAATGGATGAGTGACAATGACCATCTCTTTCATGTAAACTGTGTCCCTGGGTACTGCCTTGTGTCCACCCAGGCACTTGCTCTAAGTTTTGTCACTGCTAGCTGTGCTCTCTGGCTTGCCGGCCGCAGCCCCACGCTTCTCTGCTGGGATCGTCCCTAAAGTGCTCCTGCGTTCACTGTCAAGGAGGCCAGATTCACGTTTCTGTCCCTTTCACCCACAAAAGAAAGAAGGGGACAAAGGTTTAGCTTTCCTGTCCTGAAAGGGCAAGGGACCAAAAAGACAATCAATAACTCGGGGGCCCACGTGGGCTGCAGCGAGGAGAGGCCACACGGTGGATGGACGTCCCCACTGCACCCCGCGCGCACGGCCTGCTCAGCAGCCCAGACCTGGAGTGCTAAGGTTTAAAGTCACGTTTCTGCCACTTTCCAGCTGAGTGACTGTGGACGTAAAGCCCGCTAAACTTCAATTTTCTTTTTTCATCTTTAGATGTAAGTAAGAGCCACTTATTATAATTTATCAGGACTGTTTATCTTGGTTCCTCTAATTCAAGATGGTGTACTTGAAAAAACAAACCAGCGACCCGCCCCAGGACTGCAGGTCCCCATTTCTTTTGACTTCTGCTCATTTTTTTCTAAAGAACCTCTTGCTTCAGATGGAGTGAACGGCTCTAGGGAGAGACCCTCACTTAAGACGCGGCCCCACTCCCGGGCACAGGCGGGTTAAGGCACAATGGGGAAAGAGTGGAGGCAAGAAAACGGGCGGACTCGGAACGAACTCCATCGCTTGGCCTCGGTCTAGACCCGTGCACGGGGCGGGGAGATGAGGGTTCCTGCCCCGCCCCAGGGGTGTGCTCCCTTCCCCCCCTCAATAACGCCACCTTCAGGACACTGTACCTTCTGGTTCATGTGATTTGTACAATTTCCTTCAATTTCCCCTCTATCATTCTAAGCAGCCATAAGGCCTTTTTTTAAAGATAGAATTCGATTAAATTTTGTAGCATCCTGAGCTCATTAGAACTAGCCTAGAGTTGCTATCCAAGCATGTCCTGGGCATGGGCTTTCAGATTTAAGTCAACCCAACACACCCCTGTTGCTTCCCTCCAGTTATCAGAGGCAGAAACACTCTGCTTCAGCCCGATGTGCACACGCGGTTTGGGGATGGGAAGGCCAAAGCACGTGCCTCCCTGTTTTAGGAAGGGCTGTCAGTGCACCACAGCACGTTAATTTTCAGTCGATTAAAACCGAATGCACAATTATGCGACACATTAGAACAGCCTCAGAGGACCCGCAGGCTCCTGCTTGCAAGCCACACAGGTATGGTTTAGTACAGCACATGGCGGGGCTGGGGGACACCTCACAGAGCAAGCCAAAGCACCACAGCTGGGACAAGCACTTTAAAACTAGAGCCGTGGCTCCTGGCTCTATGTGTTTCCATGTGAAACCGAGTGTCCAGCCAAGGAACAGACAGAGAGGCCACAGTGCCCCAGGATGGCTGAAAAATGCTAAAGGGAGCCCTGAGCCGAGGCAGGGCCTGCGGCGCTCTGGCACAGGCTTCCCAGCAGGTGGCGCTGTGGGCACCCAGCATTCTGGATGCTGTGCTGCTAAGCGTTCAGCCAGAGGACACCCAGTGGCACTAAGGGAGAGAGGACAGAGAGGGGGTCACATACACTGACCATGCACAGGAAGGGTGTTCCGACGCCCGCCCCAGCTCGCGCTTGCGGCTCCAGCTGGAACCATCGGGCAGGGCTGCTCCTAGCACCATCGAACCCACACCACCCCTTCTCCCAGATCAAAGTGCGACAGCGTTATCTGCAGAGGCAGATAAAGGGAACCCGAGAGTGCCAAGGAAGGGTGTCTGAAGCGCTACTATGCAATGATAAAATCTCAGCCATTCAGGGAGAGCTTGAGTGGGACAACTGAGGGTGGCCCTGTCGCCCGGGTGCCTGTTAATTACAGCATCACGCCAGGCTGGGCACTTACAGTGTCGCCAGAGAATGGCCAAGTTCTTTTAGTCTGTCTACTTAGGTGCAAGAGCTCCCCAGATCAATGTGGTAACCCCCCAGGCGTTACCACCATGCAGAACAGGCTGCAGACCCAACTTACAGGCTCTGCCTTTGGGGATCGACACAGCCAAAGATGAGAAATTAAACCAGAGGTTTCTCGAGTCAGCAGGCAGGGGTCTGTCCAAGCTGAGGCCCTTCACAGTGGTCAGGGCACCAGGGGTGACGGCTGCTCCTGGAGCCCGGGCACGCTTACCTGGTTGGGGGCCTCTGGCGGCATGGGGGACGGTGACTTGGACTGGAAGGCGTCCTGGGATATGAATCCCGAGTCATGGGAGGACACGCTGGAGAGCCTCACGGGCGCCTGCTGGGCCAGGTTGGAGCTGCGGTAGCGGTAATGCGAGCTGGGGGAATGCGAGTGGGAGCCGCTGGACCGGGAGTCGCTGCTGTTGACGCTGTTCAGGCTGCTGTGGGGACGGGCAGAGGTGGGGGACGCCGAAGGTGGGGGGGTGAGAGGAAGGGGAGAGGGGCAGAGGGGGAAGAAGCAGGGCATAATGCGATCAGTTCTCTGTGCTCAGAAGCAGCACAAACCGTGAGACATGTTTCAGGACACCAGGTCATTAAGCTGGTAAACAAAAGGCTTTTTTCACGTGGGCAAGGGGGAAAAATAGCCGCCAGGACTCAGGTCTCTGAGTGCAACGTGGCATTCTTAAGACGGGGGTCTGGCATGCTAAAAATCAAGGGCTGCTAAAATCAGCTCTGCTGTGTCATCTACCACCAAAGCTAGGGCAGCCGATGACAGTGGCATGAAAAGGGACAGGGCTAATCTTATCCACTCATCTGCCTGCAGGAACCATGACCCTGTGGCAAACCCACTAAGGCTTCAGCATGACGTGGTCAGAATGTCCTTAGATGGACCATCTGGGTCCAGATGACTAAGGTTGACACAGCCAACCATGTCCATGGATTCCCTGCAGTGACTTCACCTCTGGGGGGTGCCTGGTGAGGATCATCAAAGAGAACCTCAGCAAATCAACTCAGTATGTTTGTGTGCATGTGTGTTACCTTTTATTGACAAAGGGATTCTTTCATTAGTGGTTTTACCCTGACCCCAGGTGTTTCTCTGTTAAACTCTCCATGGGTCTGGTATAATAATAGTACACCTGGCAACAGGCAAGCAGCTTTCAGTGACTAAAGGCAATCAATTTTCAAATGTTTGCTTCTGAGATGGAACAGTAAACAGGATGTCAAAATCATGACACACCCCCACTAGGTGTTCTATCTGCATTCCATCTCTAGTCCCAAGAAACACACTCTACAAGCTGTAGAAAACTCAAATTATGAAAAAGAGAAAACTGAACAGAGTCCCATGGGCCAAACAAGCAGAGTTGAAATATATAAAGGGCAATTGTAGAAACACCTGAAGGGCTGAAATAAACAACCCAGCCTGGGATTGGAAAGTCTGTGGTTCTGCTCCTAATGCTGCAAAATAATTTGTTTTGCAAACTCTGGCAGCTAACAAGGTAGTCAAGGACGGCGTGGTTGTCCTACGCTAAGATTACACGGT